AATGTTAATAATATATCACTCTGTAATGATTTTAATCTGTCTCAACAATGGAAAACAGCTCAAAACATAAAAAAACGTAAAAAAATGTAAAAGTTAGTGGCTAACAATAAAATAATTGCATGGAAGTATCGAACTATTATAATATAACAGGAACCAGTGTTTTTTTCGACTTACAAAAATTTTAAGTATAATATATTATTATTCGTAGCATAGGCGCAAATAGCCCAATATTTTAGTGGGGTACTAAAACCCCATGATCTTCCTATATTATTTTCTAAAAATTATATATGCTTTGTACTAAGTACGGAACTTTGAATTGTGGGATTAAATCCTCTCCCCCCCCCCCTATTTGTGCCAATCATTTGTAGCTTATAAGTTATAGTCGTTATAGGTACCAATATCATGTACCTACCTACCACAATATTAAATATTGTTATTAATATTTTTAGATTTATAAATCTATTTGCTTGTAGCGGATATACATCAGACAATATAATAAATTATATACATTCTTCAAACAGAATATTAGCATATTTTAATTTTTAATCATGCACCCACGCATAATTATTTTGTTACCATAAAAAAATTATATTTATTAACATTTATGTGAATAATTTTTGATAATGTCCAACAATTTCAACACAGTTTACTGTGTACAACTTTTTATTTTTCCCATGCAGAAGGGTGCTTAACATTTTCAAGTACCTACCTAGCTCAGCTGGTCATTGGAAATCACAAGTTACATTAATATTATTTTAATGTAGGTAAGTATATTATATTTTCATTTTCATTTTGTTTTTTATTTTTTATTTAAGAAGATTTACCTAATAAGATGTAATAATAATATATTATAATAGATTATTTTAATTTTGTATTCACAATTTAGATGCTGTTGGTTCCAAACATTCAAAATATTTTGATAATTATTGGAATATTTTTTTGCTTTTTAATGAATATTTTACCATCACAATTGTATAATATAATAAGTGTTTTTTAGATTCTGAGCGGAGCAAGGAAGCTAGTAGTTTTACAATGGTGTTTATTTTTTTTATTTTTTTTATATCCTGTATACAAAATTTCTACCAGAAGGAGTGCTTTGATTTCAACATATAGTACCTTATCTTTTAGCAAATTGGACCAAGATGGTACTTTAGAGAGGTCATTTTTCGATTTTCTCAATAGTTATTTAATACCACCCAAAAAGTACTGAAAAATTACGAAAAACCGCTTAAAATGGGATTTTGATTTCTAACAATTTGTTTATCAATAAAAAAAATAATAATTAAATAAATAAAATAATTAATGACAATATAAAATATACAGACTGACAAACCGTCTCCGTTCAGAATCGTTTTTCTTATACAATGATATTATATCATTGAATTCAAGTTTAATACAATCCATTAAACAATGACCAACTTGTAACCTACTGTACGGCTGAGCGACATCCACTTACCTGCCTTTTTTAAAATTTTTTTTTGTGTCTGCTATTACCTTTAAGGACAGTAAAAATGCATAGATTTTCTTCAACAGTATCTTTTCTGATGTGAATCCAAGACTAATAGATAATAATTATCTATAAACCTTGGAGTGAATCTACTTGGTACTTGGGGGGTCAAAAGTAAAGTAAGTTTTCAAAAGCCATGAAAAACAAAATAAAAAGTAAGGAAAAACGGGAATTTTTACGCAAAATCTGTTTTAGAGAAAATCGATTTGTAATGACAGTAGTAGGTACATGAAATTTTGACTGAATGTTTATATTAGCATTTTCTATACACCATAACATTTTCCAAATATTTTGACTTATTTTGAGCTCTTTATGGACATTGTCAGTTTTCATTTTTTTTTAGTTCTTTTTCTAAAAATATTAATTAAATTTTATTTGTTGGTTAAAAAAGCTTGCAAATTTAATAGAAGGCTCCTAGTATATTGTTTCAAAGACAGATGAAAAATATTAAAAATCCTTAGTCACAGTTTTTTTTTATAAGCATTTAAAGTTCAAAAATTGACAAAATATGGAAAAATCACGAAAATTAACAAATTATTTTGAGTTCAGAATTGGTAAAAATTTTTCTTTTTAAATCTAAGATTTGAAAATCTAATACAAGGTTACTCATAAGATTGTCTACCTTTATCAATAAAAAAATCTCTACCGGAAAGTCAAATTAAATTTTTATGAGCGTTTGAAATTCAAATTTTTACAACATTGTATATTCACTCGATTTCTCATACAGCGATTTCCTTATTTTGTTGTAATTCAAAAACGAATAACTATAGATATATGAAAACTTCACTGAATGTTCAGATTAGCATTTCTTATACACTGTACAATTTTGAAAATATTTTGACTTTTTGAGCTGTTTACGGACATTTTCAGTTTTAAATTATTTTAGTTTTTTTTTCTATAAATATCAATAAAGTTTTATCGGTTGGCCAAAAAGTGTAAAAATTTAATACAAGGCTCCTGATATACTGTTACAATAGCAGTTGAAAAATATTAAAAATACATTGGCACAATTTTTTTTATAAGCATTTAAAAATCGAATTTTGACAATATTTATCAAATTTAAAATAGAATAATTATTTTGTAGTTAAAAATGTATAAAATGTTCAACTTTTATATCTGAAGATTGAAAATTTAAAACAAGATTCCACGTGAGTAGTTTATTCTGTTACCAAAAAATCTAAAATATACATAAGCACAGTTTATTTTTATAGTCATTTTAAGTTCAAATTTTGATGAAATTACATATTAAAAACCTTATATTATACTCTGTTCAAAATAAGACCGGACCTCGGCGGCCGAGTTGTGCGTATGGGCGTGGCTTTGTTCCATGGCAGCGCCCGACGCTTAGCCGTAGTGGGGGTCGGCGTCTCACCATATGTCTGACCGCCGCCTAGGTCCGGTCTCATTTTGAACAGAGTATAAAATAACTATTTTAGTATTTTGTTGTGATTGTATAATATTATTCGTGGGTAATTGAAACTTCTTAAGTACCTATACTACTATATCACCATCACGGTTTGTTCTTGATGTATAACGCGCTATAAGTACCTAATGGATATTGTGATATGATTAATATGGAATTTATTATAGGTACCTATTATAGGTCAACTTTTTTTTAATACCATAGATATGTATATAATATGTCTTGAACCTAGACTGACATACCGTCTAAACTCAAAATCGTTTTTCTTATACAAATAATTATATCATTGAATTCAAATTTAATACCATCTATTATACAGTGACCCACTTGTAACCTACTGTACAGCAGAGAGCGACATTCACTTACCCACCTTTTTTACTATTTAAATTCAACTAGATTACGTAAGATTATGTTGGTTTATATCATATTAACTAATGACGAGACAATAAAAATAGAAAATATTACATACAATTATTATAACTCAACTATAATAATTAATAACAAACTGAAAATGAAAATGTATTGAATTTAATAATTTATGTATAAAACAATATTATTGAAATAATATTCCGAACAATTTAAGTTACGTTTTAAAATTCAAATAAATATATTATAAAGTAACTGTGGAATAATTAATATATTGTATTAGTTGTAAAAAATCGTATTTGTCAGTATATATTATTATAATAGTTTCATAAAATATAACATATTCTGTACCGAGGTCCGAGATATCTTGTATCTATATTTAGTATTTATAATATACCCAATACACTAGTAGTATCCATTTGTATGCTTTTCCATGGTAACTAAAATGTTTCAAAAGGGAATGTCCCCCTCGGAGGACATCAATTTACCGTATCACACATTACGGAGATAACACACTCGTTGTCCACCTATTTGCGCTACACACAAAAATATTTACCGTATAGAAACCAATTTTTTTTTTTACCAAACCTTATTGTAATGTACAACATAGCAAAAACTGTTTTGCGTGGGACAACTTTTCTCGCACCATATTTGTTCATTGTTGTAGAACTACATGTAAATGTTGTTGATGTTTAATCAAAGAAGCTATTCGAAACTCGATGGTGACGGTACACTGCAGTTCATTTATCTTTAATTTTATTTAATGTAAACTAGCTGTCCCGGCCCACGCTTTGTCCAGGCCAAAGATTTGTATTTTTAATAAATATATTTGTATAAAATGTTTATACCATATTTCTTCTAATTATAATATTAATATAGTACACCGAAAAAAAAACCATGTTCATGATGATAAAATTATATGTGTGTTTGACAATAATCTTGTAGATATAGGTCCAACAATTTTTTTTTTGTCAAATTGGTAATCATTGATATTGTAAAATTGTAATCACAAAATAATTATCAAATCAACAAAACAATTGTCAATACAACAAAAACATTCTATTTATAATTAATGACAATTTTGTAGTGACAACAACTGATTTGTCAAATTAATAATATTATTTTATTATTTAAAACAAATATTACTATACATTTTAAAGTAGGCACTTTCACCACTACAAACATTTTTTGTCAATTTAATACAGAATAATTTATTGAGTTGACAAAATTATACTATCAAATCAATTGTCTTTATTATATTTTAACGACACACTTTGGATGTTTAAACAACCCTCATCCCTTTCCATGATCAAATCTCATGTAGTCTATCATCTGCTTCAACACCATTCCCCAACTATATATTGTGGTCATCCACCAATATAATATGTGAGTGTGTATTGTTTAATTATATATCATACTGCACATATAATTTAGAACAGCTATTGTTGAGTCATTCTCTATTTTGTCCATCCATTTTATAATCAATTTTTATCTCCCTCTTTTTCCTTCAACAACAATTTTCATATTCATTCCACTACACTCCACTACCACTGTCACTCTTATCATAACATGACCAAATCATCTCAACATTTTCATATCTGTAAGAAATAAACATATTAATTTTAAATAAATATTAACACCAAATTTGTAATTTTTTTCAATATCTATATTTATAAAAAAGAAAACTTAACTAGGTATTATTAACTATTTCTTAGTTAGATCTAACAAAATTCGTCCTAGCATGGGATGACTTTTGTCAAATTTAGTGTTTAAACAATAAAAATATTTCTGAATAAAGAGCCAAGCAATACATGCCTCTGGTGGATATTCAAGATTAAAAAGATGAAAAATCTTAAAACAAATATCAATTGCTGATATAATAGAAAAAAATTTATATTTTATACAATCAAAAAAACTAAAATTTCCTTTGGTTTCATAGGAGAACCAATAATGAAAATAAACGGTTGAACTGGTTATCATTTTGTATACTCTTAATATGTTCTTCAATTTCACAAACTGTATTTTTGAATACCATAAAACTATTCTGTGAATCTTTTATAGAGTATTTAATTTGATTTTTTTTTTGCCATCTGAGTCTCTTGTTATTTTTTTTGATGTGGGAACAAATACAGCATGAATTAAATAAAATATGACTGTATATTTTCCATCTACAAACAAATAAAAATATTTAATTGAAATTATATTAAATTAGGTTTTCAATGTATTTCATTACTTTCACAAATATTCAAAGCAGACTCCTTCAGATTTTCAAAAAGCTTACTACTATTATTATCTTTTAGTTAGATTTTTCTTCCAACTGTGATACAGAATTTGAGCATCTTGGATATAGAGTACTGAAGTCAATATCAATCTAAAAGAATATGAAGGTAATTTTTAGATAATTATACTTTTGTTGTGATTATGCATGAAAACTTACTAATCTGTATCCAAGTGGCAAAGTATAGCTTTTCCATTTATTCATAATTTCAGCAGTAGAAGATGAATTTTGTATACTGTTTAAACGTGTTGAAATATACAATTAATATGTAGTATATGTAGTCAGCCTTGACACGTGTGTACAATTTAGTAACTAGTTATGTACGAGCATAAGACTCACTCTCTTTACGGATGTAACATGACCTCGATCGTGCATATATATAGGGCCTTTGATGTATGTAATATTCACTTGCACAGGCGTCGTTGTACAGAGCGTATACGATGTGTGTGTACTGTCACAGTTTAATTGTCCAGTTGTACGTTATTATAAATTATACTTATACATAATCATACTGTCGTGTTATTACTTATTATATTAATGGTAACATCATTAGTCCGTCAAGCTTCACTTTCAACAAAACGATATTTTGTTGTAGCTTTCCATAATTTTTCTAGTTCAGGAAATGAACAATTAGTATCAAACTGTATTTGTTCAATCATATAGTTAATGTCATCATCGGGTTCTATAAAACATTAAAACACCATAATTCATATATAATTCGTTTAGCAAAGCATATGAGTATAATATATTTAAATACTGTCTTGAAAGTATTTGTATTTGAGAATCAAATTGATGAATATTTATATCCTTATTAAAATAATTACATAATTATATTCAACACTTAATATATTTAATATTTTATAATTAAGAGGTAGTTTCTTAAAAATATTTTACCAAATTCATTATCATGTTTACGTTGAGTGGCCAATTTTACAGTTTTTACTTGTTCCTTACAAGGTACTAGGCCACTTGTTTTAAGCGTCCTCATTGAGTTGTAATACTTGGCATAAAGTTTCCCTTTAGGGTTTTTATTATATCCATCCTTCATAAAATATGTATCCTAAAACAAAAATGTAATAGAATTTAATTCCAGTTTTTACAATTTAACATTTTTACCAACAATCTGAACATATGTCAACCATTTGATCTAAATATTGGAAAATTGTATAGTTTATAATGTTTATATTAAAGTATATACACAAAATATCAATAAGTAATGGTACAGTTTAGTTACCAAGTACGGTTTTAGATAGACACTCCAAATTCCATGATTTTAATAAATCAAATAATGGCTGTATTTGGTCTACAGGATAATCGTACCCTTCGAAAACTGGCATTGTCATTGAATTGCAGTTATTTAAATCCTATAAACATTGATAAATAGTTATGATATTATGCAGGTACAAGCAAATAATCAAATTTGAAATACTAAAAAAACTTGCAATATTTATAATATCATTTGCGTTATCTATATTATTTTCTATAATATTCTCAAGCATAGGAAGGTTTGTGTTTGTGTTATGGTTATAATTATAATCTTCCATGTTGCTGAAAGCAAATAAAGCACTGAAATAATAATAAAGTAATTTATAATATACAGCTAAAAATATACATATTTTATGTACAAAATATATAAAAAAAAAATTTGAAGAATATATTTAGTCCAGTCAAGGAATGAGGTGTAGAGTGCGTGAGCAGGTAACTTAGCGATTCCTTCAGAAACTTGTTCGGGGGGCTTAGGGTATTAACATACTAAAAGTCCTGACACCTAGGTGGTGAGCCGGAGGGGGGGAAGGGGGTTAAAGTTGCGCTTTTTGGGTTTTTCGCTTATATCTCGTAAACGGTGCATCGGAGGAAAATTTTTTTTAAATAACAAAATAAAGCTCATGAAATTATCTAAAACTTTTATATCGTATGTTTTTTTCGAATTCACAATCGTTTTCGAGCTACACCTTCGAAAAAAGTATAATATTACAAAAAAAACCATTTTACCTCCCCATATTCATAAAACAATCCATCATATTGTCTAAACCTATTCATAAACTAAAAATATGCATAGAAAAGAAGTTGTAGATATTTAAATTCCCTTTCAGATTATATACACAATACACATATGTTAATTGTTAATCTCCAAGCTGCCTATATTTACAGCTATTTTACAACTTTCATAACATTTTGCAATTTTCAGAAAATGTATATATCATATTCTTGACCCACAACCTTTGTTCGTTTATGTAATAATATATGTGGCCACACTTTTAAGAAATAAAACAGACAAAAATAATGATAATACACACTTAATTTTACAGATAAGTAGTTCTCAAGTAATTCTTAATTTTACATGCAATCATATTTTCATTTTCTTTGAATTGGGGGGCCCAGGTTGTTCATCCATTGCATCTTTATCTATAGTAATGGGTGCCTCTTGCTCTTCATAGTCGTCTTCATCGTCCTCATCTTCAACAGGCACGCTGTTCATGCATTTACCTTGGCAGTGGAGGCACGCTGCAGAACAAGTCAGCATTGCTTTCCGGCAGCCACTTTTTCCCATCACACAATATCATATCAAGGAGCAGGTTTTAGGCATAAATTAAGTCCGATAATGTTAGTCAATAATTAGTTATCTATACATATAAAATCCAAATACCACTGACTCACTGATCGCTGTATCTCAAAAACTACTCAACGTACGGACTTGAAATTTGGAATAGAGTTTCTTCTCGTATTTTAACCGTGCAATAAGAAAGGATTTGCGAAAATTCGCATTTTAAATAGGTGCTCAAACAGGGACATTGAGATTCACGATGGAAATTGGAAATTTTATTTTTAATTATTAATAGTTGCCATTGGTTACAGTCTACAGTAGAAATTTATTTATTGGTTGCCATTGGTTATTCGGGCAGATCAGGTACAAGCTTGCATCAAATCGAAATATTGAACATTGCCTACCAGGGTGGCTGAGTTGCACTTACCGCAGCAAGTTACACCCAAAAGGAGTTCAACAATCATAATTTTTTTAAGAGTTGCGATTTTTTACGAGCAACCAAATTCGTTATATTAATCCACCGTATTATATCAAAATAAACTTGGTATAACTTTGGTACTTTAGAGTTAAATCATACACTTCCGTATAAACAGCACGGGGTCCGCGATTTACCGCAGGTAGATTGCCTACCTGATAATGTACTGCTGCGATTCAGAATTTTTATTCCGGGCAACGGAAAAGATAAGATAATAATTTTGAACACCATACACTGAATATTGAATAACGAATTCAACAAAGTTTGAGTCATATTGAGTTGATACATTTATCGGGCGACGAAGTGCACGGGGATCAGCTAGTAATATTATATATAGACATACGGGTAACGGAATGACAAGTTGAACACTCGAACATTTCCAAATATTTACTATTATATCTATATTTATTACTAGCCAACAATATTATAGTCTATCATTAAGTTTATAATCGCTTTTAATATTTTTAGAAGTTGGATGGAAATTATGATTTTATGAACAAATGGTGATGTAGTTTAAATTTATATAAGTAGAATATTATGTAATATAATATTATATTGTATAACATTTTTATTGCAAGAATAAATTGAAAAAAAATTAAAAACTCAATTTATGTATATATTAATTTTTTAATAAACACAAAGGCCCTAATCTTGATGTTTTTTGAGGGAGGGTCATCCAAGGAGAGGGGTGGCAGAGTAAAAAACTAAAAAAACGAATATGGTAGATAATATGATGGATTGTTTTATGAATATAGTGAGGTAAAATGGTTTTTTTGTAATATTCTACTTTCTTCGAAGGTGTAGCTCGAAA